ACAAGTCCCCCACACGAAGAGCAACTGCCAAGCAGATTGAATGCTGCTGATTGTTTCATCATTCATACAATGCAAAACCCCTGCTTCTTAACATCAGTGGCACTCCTATTGTTGTTGGAGGCGCCTTCCAACAACTTCCCCGGGCCAATCATCAATGACATCATCCAACCCCACCAACTCAACAACAAGCGCATGTCATTGATGATTGGCCCGGGGAAGAGGGATACATGCAAGATCGCTTGATCGCGAACATGAGAGAACTCACCCACACGCGCATGCACTTGCGCACATAGAGTCAAGACTTGGCAAGTAAGCAGGAGGCATACATGCAAGATCGCTTTATCACAAACATATTCAGAGAACATAGAAAACAAAAGTCTGAATCGGAATCTTTACCAAAAACGTCAACGGGACTACGGACAGGATTTTCTCATAGAAGTTCACAGTTCTTGCACATTACCAAAGAAAAACGATGCTGCAAAGGCAGCGGCTTCCCAAACAAAACACTCGCAGATAAGAAACAAAAAAAAGTTCGGTGGTATTCCCTCCTATTTCTTGCACGCGGATTTCTGTATGCTCTCAGGCTCTGCTTTTTGTTTTTGTGAAACAAGCGGCATATGATAGGGCAGTTCCTTATGCTTTTTCTTTCTTTTGTGCTTTTTAGTTTTCTGTTTTTGCGGGCGAAGCTGCAACGGGTCATCTAGTTCTAAATAAATGCGGCTAATTTAGGCGAGAGAAAATAGTCCGTCTTCTTTTTCTTCTTTTTTTTTGGGGATGAAAAAAATAAAAGGGCCTTTACGAAGTAGACCCCAGATGAATGCCCAACAGTGAGGGGCCCTGTCGGCCAGAACTTAAATTCACGAGCAGCAACCCAAAAGACAAAGTTCCTGAGGCAAATGTCGCATCCATAATGAAATGAAAAGTCGTTTTGAACAGTCACAAACAGGTCCTGCACGAACAGGTATCGGACACAGTTTTCAGGACTGAGTTACGGTCATGTCTGTTCGGCAATGAGTCAAAGGCTACAGTCCCAGTCCAGTCATAATCCCACGAGTCAGTCCTGATTCAGACCAGGAGTCCAAAAGACAGGCCGGATGGCCCAAAGCAGCAGCAGACCATGGGAAAAGATACTGGGACACACACTTTGCAACAATCGGTACTAGGCAGGAGTCCCAGGCACACTTTAGGCTGAACGCAGGCCACACCAGACCAGTCCAGCACTATAAAGGACTGGCCAGCCTCCCATTTGGATGGATGCTCACCTCGCATGAGAGTGTGGAAGTGCTGTGGCACTTGTGCGCTAGATGTGTGTGAGCTGCGCTAGGCTGAAGAGCAGCGCTATGTGGGAAGGAAGAGAGTGCTGGCTAGTGGGAAGGCAGCCATAGCTGCGCTAACGCTAGTTGGTATGCTAGTAGGGATAGTCAGTAGGAGATACCAGTGAGCAGTATTCAGAGTAGATCCTCGTGTGATAGGGAGTGTGCATGCAT